GGTCACTCAGCGGTCACTCAGTGGTCACTCACCGATCCCGGCCCTGCTCCGGCCGCCTCTTTCTCCTGCAGCTGCTCCACGATATCGGCCAGAGTGGCTTTGCTGCGGACAGAGTGGACACAGCACCGGTCAGCGCCCCAAAAAATAACCCCAGAGTGACCACTGAGTGACCACTGAGTGACCACTCACCCTCCGGCCTTGCCGTCCGGCCGCTGACCCTCGGGCTCGCTGGACTCTTGCCGCTCCAGCCGCCGGTCACTCCTGCGGTCACTCCGGTGGTCACTCCGCTGGTCACTCCGGTGGTCACCGCGCTGGTCACTCCGCTGGTCAGTGCGATGGTCACTCCGCTGGTGGTCACTCCGGTGGTCACTCGGCCGCTCCGGCCGCGGTTCGGCCGTTTCCTCCGGCCGGTCAGCGGTGGCCGGAGCGGGCTGGACGCGGTCAAGGCGTGGCTGGAGCCGCTCCGGCCGCAGCTCGTGCCGGACGTAGGCCACTCGAGCGTCCGGCCGAGTGGACAGAGGGGGCTCGGACAGGAACTTGCGGCTCAAGAGCGGCGTGGGCGGCTGCGGACACTGCTCGGCCTTGAGCTTCTCCAGCTGACCACAGGAGTGGACATTGGAGAGTGGACACAGAGTGGACAGAGAGTGGACACAGAGTGGACAATGGGGTGGATAATGGGGATGGACAATGGGGTGGACAGAGAGTGGACAATGGAGTGGACATTGGGGTGGACATTAGGATGGACATGGAGTGGACATGCAGTGGACAATGGGTGGACAGAGATGGACATTGGGGTGGACATTGGGATGGACAGAGGGGTGGACAGAGAGTGGACAGTGGGGTGGACATTGAAATGGACAATGGAATGGACAATGGAGTGGACATGGAGTGGACAATGGGATGGACATTGAGATGGACATGGAGTGGACATTGGGCGGACATTGGGGTGGACACAGAGATGGACACAGAGTGGACACAGAGTGGACATGGAGTAGACAAAGAGTAGACAGCGGAATGGACGTGAAGTGGACAATGGAGTGGACATTGGGGTGGACATGGAGTGGACATTGGGATGGACATTGGGATGGACAATGGGGTGGACAGTGAGTGGACAGTGGGATGGACATGGAGTGGACAATGGAGTGGACGGAGAGTGAACACAGAGATGGACATTAGAGGTCAGTAAAGACCACACCCCACTGACCACCACCCCACTGACCATCACTGACCATCACAGTGGTCACTCACAGTGGCCAAAGCGCTCCTCCCAGGCCACTGACCATTCCTGTCCCTCACTGACCATCACAGTGGTCACTCACAGTGGCCAAAGCGCTCCTCCCAGGCCACTGACCATCATTGTCCATCACTGACCATCACAATGGTCACTCACAGTGGTCACTCCCATCACAGTGGTCACTCTCTGGGTCACTCACAGTGGTCAGTCTGTGGAACTGACCATCACTGACCATCACTGACCATCCCAGCGGTCACTCATACTGGCCAAAGCGCTCCTCCCAGCCCGCTGACCATTCCTGTCCCTCACTGACCATCACAATGGTCAAGCTCTGGGTCACTCACAGTGGTCACTCTGTGGAAGTGACCATCACTGACCATCACTGACCATCACAGTGGTCACTCACAGTGGCCAAAGTGCTCCTCCCAGGCCGCTGACCATCACTGACCCACACTGACCAACACAATGGTCACTCCCTGGGTCACTCACAGTGGTCAGTCTGTCGAACTGACCCTCGCTGACCATCACTGACCATCCCTGTCCCTCACTGACCATTCCTGTCCCTCACTGACCATCCCAGTGGTCACTCACAGTGGTCAGCCGGCGCAAGTGGCCGAAGCGCTCCTCCCAGGCCGCGGCCGCTGACCGGAACTGACCCTCACTGACCATCACTGACCATCACAATGGTCACTCCCTGGGTCACTCACAGTGGTCAGCCGGCGCAAGTGGCCGAAGCGCTCCTCCCAGGCCGCG